TTCTCCATTGTATCTCGGTACAGTATGCTGATACTGCTCCCGCCATCTATCAGCACGCGGGAAAAACGGGCAGCACGCCTTTCTGTCGCCAGGGTGGCATCCAAAACCAAGGCATAGGAGCCAGGAGACGGCATCACCTCTGGGTGGTCATCCCGGCTCCAGCTGATGGGCTTCTCTGACCAGTGCATAAACTCGGGGTTACTGGAGGCGACCGCATTGACTTCTTGCTGCTGTCGGCGCCGGGTGCGCCGATCTTCTGTCTGGCTAGTGAACACGATGTAGGCGGCTTGCTCATTGGGGAACTCGTCTTGGATGGCTCCGACTGCTGGTCGGGCGGCCGGCTGCTGCGGCGCAGGAGGCGGCTGGCCTGCAGGCAGAGGCGGCAACAGCCCCTCGCCCTTGGAGATTTTGGTGAGCCAATGGCACTTCCGAGTTGTGTGGTTGGACGGCTTCGTGCCGCTGTGGAACTTGCAGGGGGCGTCGAGAGTTTGCTCATAGGAGAAAGCCGGCTGCCAAGCCGGCCTGCCGCCCTTCTGCTTTTTGGGAGCCGACCGTCCTTCAGGCTGCTCTTCTTCGACCGTAGCCACCTGCCGGCTGGTGGAAGGCAGCATAGGGGCCTTGCGTTTGTGGTCGCTTTGATACGGGCGCCGTCTTGATTCTCCAGCCATTGTCTTGGGAGCCGGTGCCAGCACTTTTCCAGAGGCGTCTACCCGGAGCTCAGTCTTCATTGAAGAGTCGGCCGTGGCATACTTGTCCACGATGATCAGCAACTCGTGGAGGGTAGCCGGCTCGTCGCAGAGGAGTTGGTGCTTGAGGAGGGTGCCCTCTCTGCACCCGGCAGTGAAGTACTCTATGGCCTGAACCTCGTGCACCCCTTCGCAGGAGTTGCGGAGCTCGGCCCAACGCGTGAGGTAGTCACAGGTTGATTCATTGGGCCCTTGTATGCACAAGAAGAGCTGTCGGGGCTTGGGAGCCCGTTTGTAGGTGCTGGTGAAGTTGCATATGAAGGCTTCGGTGAAGTCCAGCTAGCTGTTGATGCTGTAAGGCTTGAGGCTGTTGAGCCAGGTGCGCGCCGTGCCTTGGAGCATCAGGGGGACATATTTCATGGCAACGCGTCTGTTGCCGTTTCCTATGCGAACTGCGGTGGAGTAGTCGATCAACCAATCTTACGGCTTCACGGAGCCGTTGTATTTGGGCGTGTCTCTTGGGAGCGAGAACCCTTTGGGAAAGGGCTCGTCGCGGATGCGGGGGCCGAAGCAAGATGGGCCGACATCATCTTCTTCTTCCAGGGCCAGGGATCGTGCGAGGCGTTCTATCCGGTGGCGGGCATCATTCTCGCCGACTCCTTCGCGGCGACCAAGTCGGCCGCTGAGAGTCGGATGCTCGACAGGCGGCGGGGTGTGATACCTTTCCCCGCGAGGTGGAGGAGGAGGCGGGTCGCCTCGTTGTTCCACACCTCGGGGACGGCCTTCAGCGTCGCGCTCGATGGTGATTCGAGTC